ATTTGACTTTCATTAGTAGATAAATCAACTTATTTAACAGTGATGTTTAGCATCTTCTTTCTCACAAATTTAAGGTGTAGAGTCTTGATCACAAGGAATTAGTGGCACTTAAAACACATGAGTCACTTATATAATTTACTCCATTTAGACTTGAACTGAGTGTATGCAATAGTTTACTGATCATTGATTATGCTTGTGCATGCTATCAACCGCATCTTTGAGTTATTATATATTGTTGCTACCTTCGTCATTTGTGACAAAAAGGGGAAAAGATGAATGAGGTATGAATGAGATCTGTTTAAATTTTAATTTTGAATTTTTGAGAGTTTATAGTAAGGGGGAGATGATTTGTAGTGAGGGGGAAATGATTTTTTGAATGCTTAGCTAGTTAAGTTTTGATGTTTAGTGATATCAATGTTTGGTTTTGGTATGGTAGCTTACATTGATATTGCATCTTAATTGAGATGACATGTTGTTGAATTTATGAATAACTGTCTCAAATGCTTTTATTCATGTTACTGTTTCGTGTGCTTTTATACTTGGTATTTAAGTTTATTTTTCAATAAACGTGTTGGACAAATGAAAGCGAGATTCGGCCGAGTCAGTTGGTTTTTAGGTAGATTAGATTGAATCGACTTTGATTTGTAATACGTGTTTTGTCATAGAATGTCAAAGGGGGAAATTTGTTAGGTTTTAAAGTTGTAGCAATCTTTTCACAAAACTATTGTTGTAAAAGAGTTTTTAAAAGTCAAAGTGTCAGTGGTTAATTAGAAGTCGTATGGTTCGAGTATGGAACAAGAAGGAAAAAGTTGCCGCAACTTCGCTAGCCTATCGTCCAACTGATACTCGAGCAGTAAAAATAGAAGCTGCTTCGCCCACCTATCGCTTGAACTTCACTCGAGGGAGATACCGTCGCTCGCCTGTCGCTTAAGCGCTAGTGTATTCCCAAGAAACCTAATTCGTGTTTTTCAATGTTTTTATGTGACTCATACTACCCAAAACCTCTTCACTATATTTATGGACACCACTATTCGAAAAATACAGGTTGAACATTGAGAGAAACAAGGTTTTGCATCCTCCATATCATTCCACATCATTCCTAGGGTTCAACCATCATATTGATTTCATTATTACTGTGAAAAACATCAAGCTCACATAAACCAAACACCAAAACACTTACTTTTATAACATCAGAGTTCTGAAGATCATGGAAGGCGACTAGAGTTTCTAATTGTTGGAGAACAAATAGTTCTCATTAATACACAGGAGATACACGAATTCAGAAGGCCAGAAGTTGCTGCAGGAGCACGCAATCAGGAGGGCTTTGGTGATTACAGTCAGGACGTCAGAAAGCGCTAGAAATAGTCGAGTTTGATAGTACTGTAAGTTGATTCGTTTATAGTGGATTGTAACTGGCTTGAAACCTAGTTACAGGTTTCTCCATCATCATATTTTGCTTTATTTACTGTTTTCTATATAACCGTGGCATTCAAACTATAGGAAAATTGAATTGATTGACTAACCACCTGGAAACAATTAAAAGAGACTTGTTGTTTATTAATTGTTAATTTTAATTTCACATAAACACCTATTCAACCCCCCTCCCCCCTCTAGGTGTTAATTGGGTCGAACCTCATTATTTTAGAATATTTGTAATTTGATCATCAAACTTGGATTTTGTCATTTTTCACCAATTTTTTCTTTTTCCTTTCGATTTCTTGTTCAACCATTGATTTTTACCTATACAACAATTTAGGATATATTTTGTCTTAAAAATTACCAAATATTAGACTCCTAATAAGTGTATAAAATACACTTATCAGAAAGCAATATAATACTTATAGCTATTCAGTGATGGTGTTTTTATAGGCCCTCCTACATCTGTATGTTAATTGTAGCTTCCGTATAGCTCTCCAAGCTTTGTTTTGTTGAAAAGGAAGTCTTATGTGTTTCCCATAGTGACAGGCAACACATGTAGGAAGCTCCTCCTCTTATTGAGGCAGTCCTTTCACCAAATTGTTTTTCTTCATGAATAATAGAGCAACATGATGGAAATGCCCCAATCTCTTGTGCCAAAGCACTGTATTGCTATCTTCTTTGTGTACTGCAACTTCATCAAATCCAAGGCAAAGTTTTTGCCCTTCATTTGAACTTTGAACACTTCCCTGCCTTTTGTATCTTTAATCCCATAAATTTTATCTTCAAATAGCACCTTATATCCTTTTTCCAACAACTGAGTAACACTAAAAAGGTTTTGATTAATTTCAGGAACATATAAAATATCGAAAATTAATTTCAAACTTGCGTGGCCTTCAATTGCCACTGTTCCTTTGCCTTTTACTGCAATGTGTGCCCCATTTCGAATTTTGACTTTAGAAATAGCGATTTTATCAAGCTCTCTGAAGAGCTCTTGATCATAAGTCATGTGGTTTGTACAACCACTATCTATAAGCCAGCTTTCTATGGAGATGTTGGTGGCAAAGTACGATACCACAAACAAATGCTCCTTTTGAGGTTGATCCTCAACAGCCTTGACTTCTTCTTGTTGCACTTGAGTCTTGCATATCCTTTCCATGTGCCCTAACTGACCACACTTGTGACATCTTGCATCTGACCTCCACCAACACTTTTTCAGTAGATGATAGGTTTTTTTTTTGCAATAAGGGCAAAGTGGAAAGACTTGAGTATTGTTGCTTCGGTTATTTTTGTTATTTCCAGAACTTCTAGGTTGCTTCTTGTTATTCTGCATATTTCTTTTGTTTTTGCTAGTAATGTTCTGTGACTTGGCTTGAAAAGATCCCTCCACAAATCCTTCCTCATAAGCCTCCTTTGTTCCTGTGCCTGCAAAGCGTTCAACAATTCTGCCAATGAAATGCTTGACAGATCTTTTGAGTTTTCCAAAAATGAAATTGTGGCCTCAATCTTTTCAGGAATTGTGACTAGAATCTTTTGAACTATTCTAGAATCAGAAAACTCGGTACCAAGGATCTTACTTTGTTGGCAAGCCAAGAAGTATGTCAGAATATTCGTTGACTGTCTCCGATTCTTTCATCTTTTGCATCTCGAATTCTCGGAACAAATTCAGCACTTGCATTCATTTGACCCTTTCATTTCCTTCATATTCTTGCTTCAAAAAATACCAAATTTTCTTGGTTGTTTTCAGTGTCATTATTCTGGTAAAAATGGTGGATGAGACTGCTGCAATCAGAGTTGCTCTTGCTTTTGATTTTCTTTGCTTCTTCTCCTTTTGATTTTTGATTTGTGCACAATGGATGGATTCTCTGGCAAGGGTGGAACTTCATATACTTGCTCAACAGCTTCCTATAGATCATTAGCATCAAGATAGGCTTCCATTCTAACAATCCACACTTGATAATTATTTCCATCAAACACTGGAGGTGGAATTGCAGTGAATGAAGCTTCTGAATTCATTCTGAATAGGTTGTAGGTTTTTGTGTTTGTGTAAAGATAGGTGATAAGTGTTTAGGAATTGTGTTTGGACTCAGTCAATCTCACATGTCCCTAAAGATATCAGCTCTGATACCAATCTGTTGGATATTTAAAAAAGAAAAGTGCAACGATAATAAGAGCACAAATATTATGAGACTGCAAAAGACTAATTTTTATTGATCAAAAAGACGTCTATTTATACAGCATAATGAAAATTGAAATGAAGAAAAATCTGCTACAGGTTAAACATATCAAAATAGCATGATAAAATGATCATAATTATTGACTTCTTTATTGCCTAAAGAATAGCAACAAATAAAACTGATTTTTTTCTTTTTTTTTAGCAGCTTCATGAGTTATCCAATCAACACGACGAAACTATTGAAAAAAAAAAAAAATGGGCAAAGAAGGCCACATTTTGAAAATTTGTAAACAGGAGTATTTGATTCACAATTCATAAGTAAATCCTTTGAAAAAATACAAATAGATAAATTACAATCTAAGTACAAGAATTTCAAGAAACAGGAAGGACCTTCTTCACAATCTCCTCACTAAGAGCATTAATCTGCGAGTCAAGAGCCCTAATAGTGTCATCCTTCTGCTTATCCAAATTAGCCAATGCCTCCTGCAATTCAGCCTCCACTTTCTTCCTCCCCTCAGCCAGCTTCTGCTCCACCTCAATCTGAGTTTCCTTCTTCATCTTGTTCAACGCGGCCGATATCTCGGCCCTAGCAGCCCTCATCACAGCCGCAGCTTGATCTTCCAACTGCTTCACCTCTTCAGAAGTGTCCTTAACGCTGCTCAGCTTCTCCCTTATTGCTGCATCCCTTTCATCCATGAATTTTCCCAAAGGGGTGTAATAAATCTTGTCCAAAGCAAACATGAGGAACAAGAATTCAGCCACAATTATAGGGAGTGTCAAGTTGAAGTCGAAAAGCGCTGCCTTTTCGAATTCTTCAGCCAAGGAAGGAGGTGCTTGTGAAAGGGAGAACGAGGCGGCTGCAAGAATGACAGAAACGGACTTGAGGGAAGAAGGGGTCAAGGAGAGGAGTTGGTGGGGTTTTGGGATTATGGGCAGGGCTATTTTGGGGAGGGCTTTGATTCTTGGGTTGAAGGAGGGGATTGTAGGGGTGGATGTGATTGGGGCTTTGGATATGGAGGAAGCCATGATCATGTTCGCCATTTCTATGTTTCTTCTTTCTTCTTTAGTATTTCCTCAGAGAGGATAGAGGACAGGGATGAAGAAAATAAGGCAAGTCTTTGAAAGGCTATCTCAATCTATGCCGAGGAAATACATGAAAATAATCTTTACACTGTAGTGTATTTTCAAAGTGACATTTGACTAGGAAATAGAATTAAAAAAAAATGGTCAAAATATAGGTTAACCTGGAAAAGCCAAAAATACCCTCACTTTGTCAAAAGAAAAATTCCTCACAGCAGAATCCTTCCACCGACTTCCACCGACTCTCCTTCCAAGAAAGGATCTCATCGTTGATTCTCCTTCCATCGACGTCTCACCAGCGACTTGAAAGGTTGGTTCTTGTCATCCTCGTTTTCATAGATGAGTTTTTCATAGATGTAGTTCGAATTTCATTACTTTTATTTAGTTTTGTGTGACTGAGGAGTTGGTTTAAAAGTATTGGAGGCCGTTTGTCGAGTTTTAGGAGCTTCAACTCGTCGAAAATGACCAAAAATGGCCATTTCCGACGATTCAACACAGCCGGCATCGCTGCCGGCTGTGTTGAAATTTCGGCTGTTAACAGCCGGTTTATGAAACCGGCTGTTAACAGCGGCTTGTTGATCCATCTGTTAACAGCCGGTTTAATAAACCGGTTGTTAACGAACCGGCTGTTAATGGGTCGACTGGGCTTCTAGGCCGGCTGTTAAAGTCGACCCATATATATATATATATAT